TGATGTTCAACCTATGAGTGATGTGTAGACAAGGTCAATTGAAGCTTATGGGTCAAATGGAAGGAAAATATATCAGTATATTCCTTCTAATGGGAAATCAAGTCATATAAATGGCTTAGTGAGAAGATTGGCTGGCAGAACTGATGGTCAAAAAGAAGTGAAATGATTGGGTTTTCAAAGACAGCATGATACCAATCTAAAATTAAGCATGGCATATCATTGACAAGTAGGGTGGAAATATGGTTAGCAGTGCTATTGTTCAAAATATGGCCAAGATTTCTCAGATATACTGATTGTTGGATTTCCTACTCTTCCTCCACTCCCTCTTCTGCTGTAACTAGTTTCAAATGCAGTGGATTTTTAGCTGGAGTTGTTGATAAAAATGCTGACTCTCAGCCCCTTGACACTCGGGATAAACTTTTTTATGTTTTATTTTTTAAATGTTTATTTATTTTTGAGAAAGAACGAGAAAGTGTGAGAAGGGGAGGGACAGAGAGAGGGAGAGGATCCGAAGCAGGCTCTGCACTGACAGCAGAGAGCCCAATGTGGGGCTTGAACTAACGAACTTCAAGATCATGATCTGAGCTGAAGTCACACACTTAACCGAACTGAGCCGCCCAGGTGCACCTAAACTTTTTTTTAAATACATTTTTTCATCATAACATGTTTACCTTTAGGTTTTTAGTTTTTTCAGCAATGGGAACAACAAAACTAATAATAAAAGACATGAGTGTACAGGGGAAGATCTACAGCCTTTTTAAAATCCAATTCTTCACACTTGTCCCGAGAAGGCAATAAAGGACTATCTAGAAGTGCCATTTCCCAGAAGGGCCTGTGGGTACCTAAGAAACCAGAATACTGGGGTGTAACGATTCCTGGGAAAAGCTGATGAAATTGACATTTTATTTTCTCCAAACAGATCAGAATGAAGGATTTCATTGCAGGGAAGAATGCAGGATTCTTGGCCACTCTGACAGGTGCTGGATGCCCCGGAACCCCATGCCCACCAGGTCCAAGTCCCCTGAGAATGTGAGGAATGTCATAGCTCTGTCCATTGAAGCTACTGCTGCTGATGTTGAGGCTTATGACGACTGCGGCCCCACCAAGCGGACTTTTGCAACCTTTGGAAAAGATGTCAGTGACCACCCAGCTGAGGAGAGGCCCACCCTGAAAGGCAGAAGAACTGTTGATGTGACCATCTGCAGCCCCAAGGTCAACGGCGCTATTCGGGAGGCGGGCAATGGTTGTGAGGCTATTAGCCCTGTCACCTCCCCCCTACACCTCAAGAGCCCTCTGCCCACCAAGCCCTCCATGTCTTACACCCTGGCGCCCCCGGGCCGTGATCTGGAGCAGTATGTCAACAATGGCCCTTCTCGTCCCTCTGAAGCTGAGCCCCGTGGAGCCGACAGCGAGAAAGTCATCCATGAGGTCAACCCCACTCTGAAGGAGGGTCGCGACAAAGAATCTCCTGGTATGAAGCGTCTCAAGGATATCATTCTCTAAAGCAGTCTAGGGGAAGAAGAGAGAGAATCCATACTGGTTAATGAAGAAGAAGGAGCTGATTGTTTTAATTGCTCACTAATGGTTGGTTCTTGAGTGGCTGTGATTTCAGAGCTTTCCCTAAATGTATTGTTTATAAGTGACTATCATTCTTTGACAATCCCTCTTGTTTCAACAAGCAGCAGGGGTGTTCAGTTGGAGCAAATTAGCTTTGGTTTGAGTTGTTCATGGGGCCTTGATGTTGGGGAAACAGAGACAAATTCAGTTGTGAAAAGTATTATGTATTAAGTGTTTGAATTTGTATATTTTTCTGTCAAAATCATAATATAAATTACCATTGTTTGTGGAGGATTACATTTAAAAAAGCAAAAAAAAAAAAAAAAGAAAAAAGAAAGCTCTGAACATCTTTAATAAGCTTGCCACTGTTTTGTAGTGTAGACAAGTTAATGGTCATTTATTGTGTACTATTCCTTGATTCAGTGATGTGAAATTGAGTCCCCAAAAGGTTGTTTCTGAAGCTTGAGTACTTTCCAGTTACGCTACTTTGCTATGGACGCCCCTGCTTTAAGAACTCTTTTGCTAGCTGTGCTGTTGTTGTATTTGATATTGCAAATTGCTATGTATGTGGTGATGGCAAAAGGCTTTTAGAAGTTGGTGTTTTTTTTTTTTCTTAAAAAAATAAAACTATAGACAAAAACAAAGTGCAAAAAACTGAGATGGCAAGTGAAAGAGCAACACCACACATATAGATTGAACACTTGGAGGATACTCACTCATGGAGGATACCCATGTAGTGATTGCTCACTACCTTGCAGAGTATTTTTCCTGCCTTTCAGTCTTCTGCCCAGATCAGTGATAGATCGTCATAGAAAGTCATTCATGGATATTCTGCTATGTAATTTGCAGTTGTTAGAAATACTGTCCTAAAAGTTTTATGAGATCAATTTTTAAAATTTTCAGGACCTGAATAGGAAAGAAGCTCCTGAAGTTATCAGTTTCCAGGCTTAGAAATTCCCTGTCTCTAATCATCTAAAACTCAAAAAGACTGAATCTATTTTGAGGTCTAAATTAACATCTTTTCAGACACATACTTCCTGATTCAGTGTTTCCAATCATGATTAGAATTAGACTGCAAAGCATGTTGGGGGCTAGAACTGAGAACTCCATGTTGCTCTATATTGTAGGATTATAAATAGGAATGGAGTAAGCAGTACAAAGTGTACATTTAGGAAAAGACAGGTAGGTAACCAGTAACAGCATCACAAATCCAATTACTGTGCCTTCTAAATGGATACACTTGGACACTTGAACTCCTCTTTTTATGGCTAATACTTTTTTTAAAGTTAAAAATGTAAACAGGAAACTACTAAAATAAAAATTCCTTAAATTTAGCTAAATATTTGCTGTAGGCTAGGAATACACCTTTTGTTATTAACAAGTTTGTTATGCATGTTCTTTTTTTGTTTAACATTTCTTAACTCTCCCATTTATTGTCTATTAATATTTACTAGCCAACATAGTATTCTCACAGCCTAAGAGTTCATTATTTAAAGCTAAATAAATACATCACCTTTGCTCTGCCTTGGTCTTAAAAAAACTGTTTCTAGAGAAACAAGTTTTGTGGTTCTGTTCTCATTCGTTTCATTTTTTGAAATTCAAGAATACCCAGAAAAAAGGCTTAGAGGTTAGAGCACTAAAATGCAAAAAAGGATTTATTTTCTTAAGTTTAAGTAGATAAGTGAGCTCTTTTAAATGTTTTAGTTATTGTTTTTTATTTATATATGAAATTTATTGTCAAATTGGTTTCC